TTTAGGGTTTAGGGTTTAATGTTTTAGTTTTAGGGTTTGATTTGGGGTTCGGTGTTCAGGGTTTAGGGTTTAGAGTTTTGTGTTTAGGGCTTAGGGGAGCTATGTTACATCATATGTTATTGGATACTGTAACGTGTTTCATCGTTTTTTCAGAGTACCCTGACTGCTTCAAAAAACCCACCGCGGGTAAGACCTCAAGCGGAAGCCGACAAGACTTCGGGTGGAGGGCATAAGGACTAAGGACGGGTTTAGGGTTTAGGGTTTAGGGTTTAGGGTTTAGGGTTTAGGGTTTAGGGTTCCTATAGGAGCCTTCATATTTACCTGTACTGCTTTTTCTTTGGGGGGAGGGGGGGATTTATCATCATTGCAGTATAATAGACCCCATTCTAATCATTCAGGCCCCTACATTAGGAGTTTGGGTTTGTAGGGTTCCAGGACTTCTTGGCTTGTTTTTTCGGATTAGGGTTTTTAGTATTTCAGGGTACTTTTGGAGCTTCAATGTTTCAGGTTTTCAGTTTGGAGGTTGTCAAAATGGCAGGTTTTTTGTGCTCTAAGCTTTTCGGGTTCAGGGTTTTCTGTTTGACAGTTTTAGGTGGAAGCGTTTGCGCTTTGTAGGGTTTAGGGTCACCTTCCAGTCCTTCGTTTACAGGACGTCCATCCCACTTCCTGCATGAAGCCCCAAAGCCCTAATACCTAGAGGTTTTTTCACAGCACTACAGTACCCCAAAATCCTACTCCAGTGATTGAGGCCCCTACATGGCCACACCCCAGGAGCCCAACAAAGCCAGCATGTTACCTGAGTTCCACCTACTTGGAGGATCATAATTAGAACTCAGTAAGTAAGGTTTTAAGTTCCTGAATTGGGATAAATCAGTTCTTACAAGTATATCTACCCTAACCCTAAACCCTAAACCCATAGGTCTAGTAACTAAATCCCATGATCCTTTGAGCACCAGCCCGGGAGCATCCAGACTATTCATCTCCACCCTCGGATCCCGTACCCAGCCCGGCTGAAAGGGACCCTAAACCCTAAACCCTAAAACCCTAAACCCTAAAACCCTAAAACCCTAAACCCGAAACCCTATACCCTAAGCCCTAAACCCGAAACCTCTCCACCTCGTTTTGCTTGAGAACCCCGTTGAAATTCCCGGCCTCCCTCTTATCCCCAAGCCCAGAACCTCAAGCCCTACGGCCCTAAATTCTAAAGCTTTAACCTGAAACCCTCCACACGCGAAAACCTCGACCCCAAATCAGGGGCCCTATAACCCCTCACTTAGGGTTTAGGGTTTAGGGTTTAGGGGGTTTAGGCCAAAACCCTAAACCCTAGCGCCTGCAGCGAATACCTCAAGTCCTGAACGCTCTGATCCGGCCCATCTCGAAACTCGTGAACATTTCAGAACTCTACGATCATCGTCGGGTTTCGGATTGGGGTTTAGGGTTTAGGGTTTCGCATCCAAAAGCTTTTCTTGCTTCTACACCCTAAAGACTAAGCCCTAAATCGTTTAACCCTAAGCCCTAAATACCAAGCCGTAAACCCTAAATTCTAAGCCCTAAATTCTAGGCCCTAAGCCGTTTAACCCCACTTCCCCAGGTCCTTAGCGACCCAAAGCTTCGAGAAAAGTACGATCAGAACGGCGCCGACGCGATCCGCGACCAAGCGCCTTGGGGCTCTGAGGGTTTAGGGCTTAGGGACTTTAGGTTTTAGGGTTTAGGGGTTTAGGGGGTTTAGGGTTTAGGGTTGAGGGACTTTAGGCTTTAGGGTTTAGGGGTGTAGGGGGTTTAGGGTTTAGGGTTTAGGAGTCTAGCGGTTTCAGGGTTTAGGGTTTAGGTTTTAGGGGGTTCAGGGACTTTAGGTGATAGGGATTAGGGTTTAGGGTTTAGAGGGTTTAGGGTTTAGGAGTCTAGCAGTTCCAGGGTTGAGGGTTTAGGGTTTAAGGGGCTTAGGGCTTAGGGCTTAGGGGGTTTAGGGGGTTTAGGGTTTAGGAGTCTTGCAGTTTCGGGGTTGAGGGTTTAGGGTTTAGGGGGCTTAGGGTTTAGGGTTTAGGGGGTTTAAAGTTTAGGGTTTAGGAGTCTAGCGGTTTCAGGGTTTAGGGTTTAGGGGGTTTAGGGTTTAGGAGTCTAGCTGTTTCAGGGTTTAGGGTTGAGGTCTGGGGTTTGGGTTTCGAGTTCCAGCCAGGAGCCCCCCAAGTACCCTTGAACCAGCCCTCTTATGCCCTAAACCCTAAACCCTAAACCCTAAACCCTAAACCCTAAACCCTAAACCTAAACTAATTTTCAACGCTTCGCGGCCGCAAACAAAGAGGGCCAACGAAAGGCTGGGGCCTTGAAGGCGCCGTTGGCGGAGCGGACGAGGATCGGGGAAGGAGAGGTTTAGGGTTTAGGGTTTAGGGTTTAGGGTTTAGGGTTTAGGGTTTAGGATTGCGTACAACCGGGGAGCTTGGCGCGAGCCGGAGCCGGGCGAAGGGTGCGGGAAGCAGGGGCCGGGCGGGCCAGGAGCGGGTGGGACGGCAGGGCGTGGGTGAGACTTACAGAGAGTCCAAGGAGCCACGGTTTAGGGTTTAGGGTTTAGGGTTTAGGGTTTAGGGTTTAGGGTTTAGGGTTTAGGGCAAGGACCGGGATTACCGAATCACCTCTGACCGCTTCGGCCAGGGGCTGAGGCGAATAGAGGTTTTTGGGGGTCTAGCCAAGCCCCAACCTCTAAGCACTCAGCCTTGAAACCGCTAGACTCCTAAACCCTAAACCTTAAACTCCTTAACCCTAAACACCTTTACACCGAAACCCCTAAACTCTAAACCCTAAACCTAAACCCTAAACCCTGAACCCCTAAACCCTAAACCCTAAACCCCCTGAGCCACGCAAAAAAAACGAAAACCTGAACCCTACTTCCTGGAAGCCCGCCTGTGACAGGCACTTCCGAACATCGACCCGGGGCTTTTCTTCAGCATGCTGTTCGGCGCAGAACAGTTCGAGAAGCACCTTGTCAGCGGATGGAAATCCTGTTGAGTTTGGGGTGCAGTGTTGAGGGTTTAGGGCTCCTAAGCTCTTAAAGCCCTCAATCCAAGAACTCACCCTTCGCCCTAAACCCTAGACCCCTACAGCCCCAAACCCCAAAATTCGGGTAGCCTCTCAAATCCTAAACTCCCCTACTCGCACCCAAATCCCTCAAGCCTACAGCCCGAGGCCCTAAAGACTTACACCCTGAAGTTTCTAGAAACCCTCAAAGCTCTTCTAGGGTAGGAAGCTCGCCCTAAGCCCTAAGCCCAACAAAAACAAGGGAGGAGAGGGCTCTAAAAGCCCAGCCTCAAATCCTGAGCCATAAGCACTAGCAGGTACATCGGGAAGCTATACCTCGCCATGCAGACGGACCACCTGGCCAAGGATATTCAAAAGGATTTCGAGCGGCATGCGCAGGGCGGCCAGGACTTTTCAGGGATTAACATAACATACGTATAGATATATACACACACACATAAATATTCTATACACGTAGACACAAAGCCATACAAATTCGCAGCTATGTAGAAGAAATTTCATACGGAATACACCTACTGATACGCTAATATGTATGTAGATAGGTACACACATAAACATAGATACAGCTTTCACTTAAATCAAGCTACAAACAGATAACCAGGTGCATTAACAAAATTTTAGGCAACTGCCTGACCAAATAGATAAACAGACAAATAAATGACTGTCCAGCTATCTATCAATCCATCAATCTATCAATCTATCAATCAATCAGCCTATCAATCAAACAACCAATCATTCTGTCTATCAATCTATCTATGAATCTATCTATCTGTCAATCAATCTATCTATCAATCAACCAATCTATCTGTCTATGTATCTATCAATCTATCTGTCTATCTGTATATCTATCGATCTATCTATCTATCTATCTATCTATCTGTCTATCTATCTATCTATCTATCTATCTATCTATCTATCTGTCTAGCTGTCTATTTATCTATCTATCTATCTATCTATCTATCTATCTGTCTATCTGTCTATCTGTCTATCTGTCTATCTGTCTATCTATCTATCTATCTATCTATCTATAGATCGATCGATCTATCTATCTATCTATCTTTCTATCTATCTTTCTATCTTTCTATCTTATATAATGTTATATATATATATAGATGCAGATGTGAATATGGACATAAGTACACATATAAATACAACTATACATAGGTTTGTGTATGTGCACTGTTCATAGGGCTTTCACACGGCTTCGCAGAGTTTTTACTTCCAGGGCTCTAGGTTTTGGGGTCTAAGGGCCTATGGCTCAGGATTTAAGGGGGGGTTTAGGCTTTAGGGTTCAGGATTTACGGGGGTTTAGGCGTTAGGGTTTGGGGTTTTGGGGGAGTTTAGGCTTTAGGGTTTGGGATTTAAGGGTGTTTAGGGTTTAGGGTCTAGGATTTAAGGGGGTTTAGGGTTTAGGGTTTAGGATTTCGGTGGGTTTAGGGTTTAGCGTGTAGGTGCAGCAGCCGGTGATTGTCATCGCGTGACTTCGCTACGTCAGTAAGCTAAGCCTCCACAGCCCTACACCCTCAACCCGAATCCTAGACCCTTAGGGTTTAGGGTTTAGGGTTTAGGGTATACCTGGACCCCAAAAGTATGTAGAAGAATAGCCCTTTACAGGCTTTGGACTATTATTTTACCCTACTTTCGGGGGTTTAGGTAAATGCTAGACTCTAAAGGCTTGTGCAGCTTCGTTGAGTGCCAGACCTTAGCGAACTCGAGAGAGTCACCTCAGCTGCACAATTCCCTAAGCCCTAAACCCTCCATAGTGCTCAGCATATTTTCGAAACCCTAAACGCTAAACCCTACACAGTCCTCAGCATATTTTGGAAACCCTAGACCCTACACCCTACATAGTCCTCAGCATACTATAGAAATCCTAAACCCTAAACCCTAAACCCTAAACCCTAAACCCTACATCTAGTGCTCAGCATAGTTTAGTGCAGGATGGCGTCCCAGGCCGCGACGTGATCGGCAGCTCCCTCGAGCGTGAGCTGAAATGGGGCACGGACAAGAATCTCGGTGAGGGCCTCCTTTTAAGTCAACTATAGGGTTTCAAGGTTTTAAAATAGAGCTTTTAGGGTTTAGGCTTTTTAATTCAACTATAGGGTTTTGAGGTTTTAGGGCTTTTAGGCTTTAGGTTTTTTTCTTCAAAGGTTCGATAAAGCTTCTGTACAAGGGTTCGATATAATGGAGCTAGAGAGTTTTATGGCTTTAGAGGGTTTAGGGTTTAGGGTTTTTGTTCAAAGGTTCCATAGAAGCTTCTATATAAGGGTTCTACATATTTCTTGAGGATGTTCTATAATTCTAGAAGGGTTCCACAAGGGTTCCATAATTCTGGAAAGGTTCTATAAGGGTTCTGCAAGGCTCCACGTGGTGAGGGCGCGCAACCCTAAACCCTAAACCCTAAACCCTAAACCCTAAACCCTAAACCCTAAACCCTAAACCCTAAACCCTACGGTTCTTGAAGTCGAGGGTTCTATGTCTAGGACTTTGGATTTAGCTAGGGGACCTGGCCACTGGTTCATGGTGTACGATTTTTGAGTTTAGGGTTTTAGGGTTTAGGGTTCAGGGTTTTAGCGTTTAGGGTTTAGGGTTTTAGGGTTTAGGGTTTAGGGTTTGTAACATTTTTCATTGCATCGTTTTTGTTTGTTTTTAAATCGGTTTTCATGCCTGTATTTTTGGCCCGGCAAATAACGGAAGCCTGATCTTCATTGGAACCTATCCAGTACACCCCAAACCCTAAACCCCGCCACCGCTCCAGGAAGGGCAACCAAATCAAGCGCCAGCAGTTCGTGCGGGAGGCACCGTTCTTGGGGTACTAGGCCCTTGGGATAGTTTGCATTTTCGCTTATGGGGCTTAAGATAGTGACACGTGTTATGACGGGCTTTAAACGGCCAAGCTAGTTTAGGGTTGGGATCTTAGATCTTAGAGCCTGTGGACTTTCGGAATTGAGGGTTCAGGGTTTGTAGGCTAAAGTTTAGCTGAAGTTTTTGAGGTGGTTTCTGGGTCCGTGAGGCACAAAGCCTGACCTTCTCCACCCCAAACCCTCAACACGACACCCCACACCCTAAACCCTAAACCCTAAACCCTAAACCCTAAACCCTAAACCTAAACCCAGCCTAAACTTTCAGCCGTCAGGTGACCTGCGCCACACAGCTGGTGAGTCGTTTAGAGCGTTGGGTCGTGGGCCGGAATATGGACGGCTGGACGAAGAGTGTGCTGAAGGAGACAGCTGAACTGTCCCAGGTGGGGGGCTGACTTCTTAGGGTTTAGGGTTCAGGGTTTAGGGTTTAGGGTTTAGTTTTTAGGGTTTAGGGTTTAGGGTTCTGGCCTTCCCTGACCTACCATAGTAACCTACATTGGGTTTAGGGTTTAGGGTTTAGTGTCCGTGGCCT